CAAGGGCAACTTAGACGAAGAAAAGGGATCACAGAAGAAAAAGTCATTCTCATAGACGGGCATAGACAGAGAGGGTCATTCGGGAAAGAACGGGTACCCTCGGGAAAAATCTATGTCCAATTCATTTCTTCTCCTTCTTTGTGTGATCGCTTCGTTTTTCGTCGTCTACTAACTTCCCATCCCTTCAGCATACATACAAGTGAGCGACAAAAAAACAATCATCACCCCTTCATTTCCGTTGACATGACCAGATTTTTTTTTTTTTTTTTAGGCATCCTTCTACCTACGTGCACATCAGGTCAAACAACAAGTTCAAAAGAAAACAATGCAATTCAAACTCACGTTAGACTATCATTCACACGTGCAGACAAAACACAACTTCCTCTACCTCTTCAGCGAACATTCAAAGAACAGGGTCAAGCAAGTATGGGTCCACTCAGGTGTGAAGCGGTCTGAGTCAAACTGATTGACCTTGAGTGAAGCTGAAAAGACGGCCCACTCAAGAAGACCGTGTAAAATCACACTCCAGATAAGATAATCGTCGACACAAATTGCCCGCAAAGCGATCCACACCACTCCCTAGAATGACCGCTTGTTGCGATACCCCCTCAACACATAATCATCTCCCAGTAATCTGACGGCGTCTCAGCGTCGCCATCACACCAACCACACCACCACGTCGTTGTCGTCAATACCAGAACATGCTGCCACAAAATGTCCCTCACAATCTAAGCAAACCGGGCGGCGCTTCCACGTCACCACCTACAACGCGCTGCTGCCGCCGCAAAAGTTCAGCAGCACCTCCGCGTCGCTGCCAAAAAAACACCGTCGATGCCGGAAGATTTTGGCAACACTTTCCCGTCGCCACCAAAATCTCAGTGCAGCTGCCGCAAAAAATTGGCAGCGCTTCAGCACCACCGCCGTCAAACCTGGCACTGTCGCTGCAAAATTTCGGCAGTGCTTCCGCACTACCGCCGACAAACCCGACGCTGTCGCCGCAAAACTTAGGCAGCGCTTCCGCATCACCGCATAAAAAGCGTTGCCGCTGCCGTGCTGAGCGAACAACACCTCCCCTGCACTCCACCAAGTGCAGCGGCAACTATGGCTGCCCTCACTCTCACGCTCCCGGCAGACCTACAATGCTTCTCTCTCTCTCTTTCCCTCATTGAGATGGCGGCTATGACTGTGCTTCACAACTATGGCCACCTCCAGCAGTTCTCCTCCCTCACTTGCAGACCTCCACTCCGCTCCCTCTCACTCCACCAGCAGCCCCTCCTCCAACAACCAGCATTCACCCAAGTGAAATGCTAGCAGCACCAGCCACAAATGAATATTGGCTGGCTGGCTGTTGGTTGTTTTATAGTTGGTTGGAGGCTGAGGGCAGCTGCTTTGCCCCCCAGCCAAAACTCGGAGTGAGGCCTGGCCCTTGATCTGAGACGAGATCAAGGGCTGAGAAACTTGATGTTCCCTTAGGGGAACCAAGTTCCAGACCTTAGTAATGCATCTGGCCGCTATCCCCGGCCAGATGCAGCCCTGAATGGCTGTATAGAGCCAAGTAGAGCAGACTGTTGTAGTTCAACAGTCTGCTGTCATCTAAAAATCCAGATGCGTCTACCCCTGCATTTGGCCCAGCGTCGTGATTAGATTCGCGATGCTCTGTTTTTTTTTTTTTTTTCCCAACTCTTCTCCTCCCTTACTTCTCTCTCTTTCCTTTTCCTCTGCACCTACTCTACCTCAGCGTACGTGGCCGTTACTCTATCCTTGGGCAGGGGCAGCTCGTTTTGGGAAACGAGCAGCCTCCCCAGTCATCTCACAGGGCCCTACTAAAGTCGGGCTCAAGGGGTGGTTGCCCCCTGCCGCGCCCGTATCTGGGCCAAAACAGGCGCGGGATACAGGCGCGCGGCCCCAAGTCTTTTCCTCTCTCTCTCTCTCTTTCTCTACACCCCGACAGTCACATCGTTCGGCAGACACGAGTGAACCGACGGGATGCTTCAGAAAGAGGCTGCAGAGAGTCCCTTGTAACTCAAGTACAGGCCCTTAAGGCCCGAGCCCGCATATAGCCGCTATCAGCGGCAGATTCACCTGTCGCAGTACTGTAGAAGCCCAAGGAAACAGCTTGGCTCATGCTCTCCCGTTCGTTCAAGAGCGAACGGGTACTAACAAAAAAAGAAGGAACGAAAAAAAAATATAAACAAAACCTAAAAAGGGAATCTAAAAAAATCTAACTAAACTTGACTAATCCTTGAAAAAGGATAGTCGCCCGTTTCTACGGGCGACTGTTTGGTATACTGGGGCTGAAAAGCCCCAGTCACTTCGAAAATGCGCCACATGGCGTTATACTTTCCAATTTCCAATTTTTAGGTTTTTTTTTTTTTTTTTTTTCGTGCTTGCGGCCGTTCACCCCAGCCAAACAGGCACTACGCCCGGGGCGAGGTCCTACTAGCAAGGGAATTGGATCGAACGCCTGAATGTGAACTTGTTTGTGGATGGGTACAGATGTCGGGATTGAACTGCTTTTCTGCATTTTTGCATAAAACACATCCAAATTCAGGAGCTCGATCCTATCCTTTTTGCTAGTAGGACCGCGGCCCAGCAGTTCGTTCATCAACATGAGCAACTGCTTGGACGAGAGCAAGATCTAAAAAGAAAAAAATCTAAAAACAAATCGAAAATAAAAATCGAGAAAAACAAAAAACAAAACAAAACGAAAACGAAAGAACTTACCTGGCCGTTTCCTCCTTTTCAGGGATTGCAAGTCCCTGTCAGATCCCTATGCGCCACATGGCGCACCTCTTTAGTTAGATTTTATTTTTTATTATTATTTATTTATTTATTTTATTTTTACGATTTATACGTATCATCCTCGTGCAGGGGCCATGCTAATTCGCGGCCCCGATCTGGGCCGCGCAATCTGTGCGATCGAACGACTAGAACCGATCGTGCAGGCAGTGGTATGGCGGGGCAACTCCAAAAGGAGCTTTGCCCAGTAGGCCGGAATATTAGGTTCGATTCCGGTATTTGCCAGGTAAGAGTCTGGTGTGGTAACCTACTGGGCTAGCTCCTATCATGACAGTGATAGGAGCAACTCTTCTATATGAAGAGCTCGCCCAGTCAGGTTTCCCCCATACCGTAATCTTGCAGGCCTTGCCTGCCCATAGCCTTGCAGGTCCAGCCTGCCTGCGGCCCTGCAGGCCTTGCCTGCTTGTGGCCCTGCATGCTCAGTTGGCCGTGTGAGCATGGCATCAGCCTGTCAACCCCCTGGCTCGGTGTCAACCCCTGCGGCCCTAGAATTAAAATCCTTCTTCCTATTCCCCCTGCGTCGCGGCTCCATACCCGGCACACCCCTCTTTTTAGCTTACTTAGGCCCCAAATCGCGCGGCTTAGCAGCTGTGCGACATTATTTTAGGTAGACTAGGTCTAACTTTAGTCTTTCTAAGACAGTGGACCACTGCGGCCTTGTCGGGAACCGCGGACGACAAGTCGTACCACTGACTCCCGCTGTTTCAGTCTAACGAACATCGATGTCGTCACATGTCAATGACGTCATACGTCATCGGCGTCAGGCTTTAGGTCTCTCAGTCATAGGGTTGGTCTCAATAACTTTGGCAACGTCGATCTCATCATGTTCCTCAACGAAAAGAGTCGGACAATGTCTGACCTCGAAAAACTCGGGCAGAAACCCTCACAGGGGTTTATGTCACGGCACTGCTAATGAGCAATGCAAGTACTGCACCGCGGTGGGATATTTTGTGCGCGTATGTCCTAAGCTCAACCACAATATACTAAAAAGGAGATGTACCAGATCATTGAAGGGGGAAATATTCAGACCACAGGGGGAACGGGTGAATTGGAACTCGCCAGGGGGAATACGGCACACCATTATCATGCTCAATGGGTTAGAGATCGCGGCAGTAGAGGTTGAGTCAGTGGTCGATATCATCTGGGACCAACTCCGGGGCCGCTGGCCGCAGATCAACTTCATTTTGAAAAGTGACGGACGTGATAGGGTGAACGCGACTACTTGATTAGGGACGGCAGGAAGGAGGATTATCAGGGACACGGTGATGGAGGAAGTTGTCGGAGGCTCCACGCCCCAAGCAGAGCCCGCGGCCGGGGAACCCGAGAAAGTTTATGGGAAGCCTAGGGAAGAAGAGCCCACAGACAAGGTCACCGCCGCTAAGAAAAAGTTTAGGTATCAAATCCCGATGTTAACCATGCCTGAGATCGATGACACCCTTAGCAAATTGCTAGGAACCATGGTGTCAGTATCGTTTCAGACCATGTTGCAGGCCAGCCCCAGGCTGCTTAAAGGGCTTAGACATAGTTGTTGACTCGACGGCGAGTAGAGATAAACGAGAACCCCGAATCACCGGAAGAAGAGAGGGAGGAGGAAGCTCCGCAAGAAGTCGCTAACCTTCAAAGGAGTCTCGGGGATTTGGAGGATCTAGAGAAGGTCTTTGCGGACATCCGCCTGAGCTTGCCGGACCGAGAAGGTAGCGAGGTCATGAGGGCACCACCCGGAACGAAGCTTAGCTTTCATGCACTGCCCGTAGGAAAGCTGAAAGTCCTGATCGGAACTCATCATACCGACGCATTGGTAGACGGGGGAGAGGAAATCACTCTCATGAGGAGAGACTTCGCAATGATCACGGGCTGTACGGTGAACAAGGAAGTAACAGGGAGTATCCGGGGAGCCGATGGGGAAATTTCGTTCGCTGGGTATGTCACGAAATGTGCAGTCAAGGTAGGAGTCAGGGAGTCGATCTGGTCGTTTCAGCGGATGACTATAATGGAGGAGATGAACCACGCCATAATCCTTGGAAGACCATGGTGCGCCAATGTAGAAATGATAGGGATGCATCTGCATGATGGCACATACATGGTAGATATAGAGGACCCAGTGACCGGCCGAGGGGAGCTTCTCCGACTCCTTGGGACGTGATGAGACCCTCCGAAGGGGAAGTTAGCAACGTGATCGCCGTCATTCGAAGATAGTGAGCGGAAGGGGTTTTTTGCGCGAATGAAAGGTATGAGAGAGAGGGTAGAAACTATGATTGAGGAGGCATTCAACAAAAAGGAATGGATCAAGATGGGCCTGCCTCAGAAGAAGAGAAGGCAGGAGGACGAGGTCTTAGGTGTCATGGAGGCGGAAAAGGAGTCAGAAGTTGAGCTTGGGGCCAGCCTGCCTAAGCGGAAAGAAGTGCGCATGGACGTACCAGAAGTCGCACTCGAGATTCCCGATTTGTTACAACTCATCAAGGCTATCAGATACCACAAAGTAGGAGTGGACTCGGCAACATTGGCCAAATTCGAAGGAGAAGTGCAGAAGGGATATTGTATAAATGGAGACTAGTCAGTATTCAACCACGAGTTGTAGAGGTGACGAGGGTAATCTCGGCCATTCATTTTTTAGGAAAAAGATCCCAGAAGGAAGTATTCAAAAGTACAAGCTGACAGAGAAGAAAGCAAAACCGGTCTCGATCATGCTAGAGACATCAAAGGAAGAGACTATTGAGAGGGAGGAGGAGGTCCTCCGAGTGATCCGAGAGAGGCGAGCAACGGAAGGGCATCGGATACCAGATGAGGTAGCTGATACAATGAAGATAGGAATAGACGGATTTTTAACGGAAGAAGAAACCCTCCTGATCAAAAGGACATGCCAGGAGTTTCGTCTGACATTTGCCTTTAGTGATCACCAAAAGGGGCGGTCAGACGCAAAGCTAATTCCCCCGGTCAGAATCCACATGGTGGAGCATGAGTACTGGAACGACAAAGGGTCGTCCTATGAATTTGGGATAGCAGGGGAAGTGAGAGACCTTCTTCGAGCAAAGATAGACTCCTTCGTCGCAGAGCCTACGGCGTCCCTGTATGCGAACTGGTGGTTCGTCTTTCGAAAACCCAACAAGACGCTGAGATAGATTCAAGATCTGCAGAAGTTGAATGCAGTAACCATCCGGGACGCTGGTTCGCTACCTCAGGCCGATTTGTTAGCAGAGTCGCACGCCGGCCAGAGCATTTACTCCCTGATAGATTTATACTCAGGGTACGACCAGCTTTCGTTGGATGTTCGCGACAGACCGTACACCACAATGCACACCCCCGTAGGACAACTGTAGATGCAGGTGACCCCTATGGGCTTTATGAACGTGGTGGCCGAGGCGCAAAGAAAGATGCTCGCCGTAGCCGGAGACATGTTTTCATAGAAGTGTGAACCCTATATCGATGACAACCCGATTAAAGGCTCCCAAGAGAAGGACGAGACGGAAGTCCAATCAGGAATTTGAAGATTTGTATGGGACCATTTATTGGACATCAAGGACTTACTCCGCCGATTCCTAGTGTATAACATCACGGCTAGCGGACGAAAGAGTATTTTAGCGGTATCGGAGGTAACCATACTGGGATTTTGTTGTGGCGCATACGGTAGGAAACCAGACCCGGCTAAGATAGACAAGATATCACAGTGGCCAACACCCTTGCGCACGACAACGGAGGTAAGAGCATTCTTAGGAGTGGTCGGCTTTTGGAGGATTTTCATTAAAAGTTTTGCCAAGATTGTTGAGCCTATCCAGGCCATGATCAGAGAAGAAGGGACCATGGATTGGACGGAGGAGCGAGAAGGGGCGTCCAAACTCTCAAGAACATACTGACGTCTGAGCAAGTCGCCTTGTCAGCACCCTGTTTTAATGACGAAGTGGGACGGTCATTCATCCAAGAGACGGACGGAGGACCCTTTGCCGTAGGGGTCGTACTGATTCAAACGGATGAGGAAGAAAAAGAGAGGCCAATTAGGTTCGAAAGTAGAACCCTGAACTCCGCAGAACGGCGATACTCACAGTTCAAGAAGGAGGTCCTAGCCATTTTGCATTGCCTCAAGACCTTCCAAGCCTACCTATTCGGGAGGCGGTTCATCCTAAGAATCGACCCAACGAATGTCGCAGGGGCCTTAAAAAACTACAGGCCTATAGACCCGACGCTGGGGAGATGGGTAGGATTTATCTGGCAGTTCCTTTACAAGATCGATTACAAAGCCGATGGGCTGAGTCGGGTCAGTACCTCGCCCGAAGGAGTGGAAGACGCAGAGCCCATAGATGCGTTTCTTGATTACGAAGGAGGGACATTCGCAGTGGATAATGAAATGATTGGCGAAGGGTGCGCGTCGGGAAAGTTGTTGATCAAAACCTTGGAAAAATGGGCTTCTGCCGTAGTAGCAGAACTTAGAGAAGGACCAATCACCACTCGAGGACGCAAGGAGGAGAGGGATTCATGGGGAGCGGTAGTAGGACCGAAAGAGGAATTGATGGCAATAGCAGTTGAGGGAGGCTGGGAAACTGTGATGACCCTAGTGGAGTCTTGGGAACGAAAAAAATTGCAGTGGATGGTAAACCAGATGAAGGAGGGAAAGGACGAGGAGCAAGAAGGAAGGGAGTTTTTCTATGCTCGGATATACGAAAGGGTTTTCCGGGAGATCGGATTGCTGATGGTAGTAAATAAACAACCCATGGAAGTCATCTTTAGAGAAAGGGAGGAGGCAGAAAGGTACGTCCTAAGGAGCGATCATCTGTTCAGAAGGGAGGAAGGTGTTATGCCTAGAATAGTTGTGTGCGGGAGAGATAAGCAGTTGGACGTGATCCAGGCAATGAAAGACGGACTAGAAGGAGGACATCGATTGTCCAAAGGAACTCTTGCGAAGATAACGCCGCTCTATTATGGGCCAGGCATGGCAGGTATGGTCGCCACGGACTGCCAGACCTGCCTAATCTGCAAGGAACGTAGCTCGGCACGCGTCTTCGAGCCGCTTAGACCAACGCGAGTGCTGGGGCCGAGACATCAGGTCCACCTTGACCTTGCGGTCATGCCTGTATCAACGGATGGGTACAGGTATATCCTGGATGCGCGAGACAACTTGAGTGGGTTCGTGGAGGTGGTCGCTCTCAAGAAAAAGACAGAGAGAAGTGTAGCGGATTGGATAGAAGACTTATGCTTGAGACATCCCTTGATCAGGAGGTTTATAGCGGGCAATGAGACAGAATTTGTGAACCAAGAAGTGTTGAGAATGCTTAAGAGGCTTTGCGTACCGATCAAACTCATCGAGCCATATCACCCGGAGGCCAATGCACCTGTGGAAAGAGGGCACCAGACCTTAAAGAACACAATTGCAAAGCTCGCGGCGGACAATTTGGGGAGTTGGCCTAGGTATCTTAAGCACATTGTCTTCTCAGAGAACATGATACCAAAGAGGACAACGAGATGTATCCTAGCGGAACTTTGGTACGGAAGAGAGATCGATTTTTCCATGGAGGCCTTGATACCAACCTGGAACAGGTTAGATGACGATCCGCATATGACCACGGAGGAATTGACTGAGGCAAGATGCCAACAAGTTCTTAGGAACGAGGAGGTCATGGAAGACATCGCCAACCGGGTACTAGACAGCAAAATGAGGGACAAAGCAAGGTGGGAGCAGGTTAAGAATGTCAGAAAGGAGCCACTTCAGGTGGGGGGGACAGTATTGCTAAGGAAATCGGCACTAGAAAGTACTTGGTCTGGACAACTGGGGAGAAGGTTCAAAGGCCCCTACCGGGTCGTTAAGCGGGTGGGACTGAACACCTTCGAACTGGAGGATTTGGATGGAGCCAGATTGAAAGGACCCTTCCCGAGGCAACGATTGGTCAGGTTTCTAAGTCGGGACCCAGTGGAACAATGGCTTCAGGAGGCCGAGGATAAGGAAATTAAGGGGCTACAAGCTAAGAACAGACAAACGGCCTTGCCCACACTATGATTTTGTCTTTGACTGCGTCTGTGGGACTGTCATTTTTTGGGGGGGTTGGGGCAATGGTTTGGACTGACTTAAGTGGGAAGATGGGATGTCTTTGGACCTTGCGATAACGGGTTTTGTGTGACGACGAGAAAAAGATTGTCGGGAGCATTGTATCATAGTTTTTTATGGGGAAATAACGGGATCATCACAAATGGGGCATTTGCATGAGAAGAGAATGTATAATAGTGGCATGATGCGAAGGGTACTGGGAGCATTCTGGGAAAAGGGGAATAGCCTACCGGACTGGGGAACGTGTGTATGAAGGGTTTGGCGGGTGTTGTTTTGTTATACAGGACCAAGGAGAAAAACACAAGAAAAGCAAAATGGAATTTGGCAACGAGAATGATAGCAGGGCAATCAACAGACCTACCGAAGAGGGAGGAGTGGGGCCAAGTCGAGAGTGGAGGACTGTCAAAAGAAAATTGTACATAGGGTTCATGTCCAAGCAAGTGGTAGGCAGGGGTGCGAGAAAGCGCGTGTGTAGAGGACCTTCGCCTCTCCGGAAGGGAGAAGGCGTATATATCTCATCCGAAAGTGAGAGCGAGGAATAAAGAGCGAGTGTGGGAGAAGCGGGCAAAGCGGAGATGAGAGAAAGGGCTCAGGCCTCTGATGAGGGAGGGGTCGAGAGATGCGAACAGCATGAGCCTTGGCTTGAGGAGAACGAAGGGAGACACGATGGGTGTGACGGACGCGAGGATGGGAAAGAAAGAAGGGAAAACCGCATGAAGAGCGGAGCAGCCACGACAGTTGTAAGGGGAGGTATCTGGACTTTGAAGAGGGATATGGAAGGAGGACGAAAATTCCCTACAACTTGGATCCAAGGAACTTCACAGGTGAGTTCAGCCCCATACAGATGGAAGAAGAGGTGGATAAGGAGGAGGAAGTACAAGAGGTCACAAAGATCAGTAGTGGGGATGAGAGGGATGAAATCTCAAGGCCTAAAGAGGAAAGGCGACCCCCGATGCACCAGCCGCGCGGGGAAGCCTTCAAATGGGAGGATGAGTTTGGACCAACGCCCAGTCATTGGTTTCAGCAATGGCTAAGTGCGATCAAGCATGACCGGATTATCAAGACCAGAGAACTCGCGAAGGTAGGGGTGGCGGCCACACCTCTAGATTTCTACAGTGAGAGAGAATTGCAGGAAATAACGAAGAGGAGGGGGAGATCATGGTCTCCGGCCTGGGAGTTAAAAATCCCGCGGAAACACAGGATGGACAAGGGAACAAGCGAGTTGAGGTACAAGACAACAATAGGGATTAGATGTTGTTAAGTGTTGAACAAGAATCGTGCTTTTTCGTTTGCAAACATTGGAACGACAAGAATGTGTATAGCATGAGTAAGTTTGCTAAGGATGAGTGATGGGAGAACTAGCTAAGACTGTGTCACGATAAGTTAGAAGATAGTATTTTGAGGCTACTTTTTGGATGAGCTACCTTCGAAAGTGGGTATACAAGACAATGATACGGGGCATGGGATGAGACCGGTTGGAAAAGGTGTATTGTGAACTTTGGATGGAATGAGGATTGTGCTTTTGAGAAGAGAGACTGTGAGTACAGATTGACGAGCAAAGCAAGGCATTAAATGTCGGTCGAGTACGAGAGAGGTTAGGGAACCTATGGGTTAAGGGGCGTGAAAAACACTCCTTCCCTAGGAGCCTAATCCAACTGAGTCATGAATGAGTCTGAAAATAGCCAAGAGCTGAAAAACCAGAAAGAGTGAAAATAGAGGGGGTGCCTCGGTTGTTTGCTATGGTTGAACGACCGGGTGGGCTAGTGCTGCTTGGGGTTGTGAGCCTCAATTCGAGCACTAGACGCTAAGTCGGATGTTTGCATGTACAACGAATAATATTGAGAAATGGACAAAGGAAACCGCACACGTAAAATTGAAAGAGATAACCACCTTCTAACCTCCGAGACGGAAATGGGATCCGTGTCCTCAAGGCCCAACCCTTCGGGCGCTAACATTGAGAATGAAAAGGAATGGCCCTGACCAGGCTGTTCGATTTGAGAATGGAAAGGAATGACCCTAACCAGACTGTTCGACTTGAGAATAGAAAGGAATGACCCTAACCAGGCTGTTCGACTTGAGAATGGAAAGGAATGACCCTAACCAGGCTGTTCGATTTGAGAATGGAAAAGAATTACCCTAACCAGGTTGTTCAGAAATGGCCCCTTACAAGGGTCATTTGTTTTGAAATAGGCACTGAGGTCCCCTGCATAATTGATTGAGAAAGATTGATTGAGAATGAACTCGAATGAGCAATGTGAGATGGAAAAGGCCGGTGGGTCGGTCATTGAAATAGCCATGAGGATGAATGAAAGAGAATGATGCCTTGAAAAGAGAAGGGCAGGGTAAAGAAGACCGAGCCTTAAGTCGAGAGGGCATAGACCGTTGAGACGGTCATAAGGAATGGATATTGGGGAATGTGAAAGTTGAGGATTGAAGATGGGTCGATGGGTCGACCCTTGAAAGATGACTATTGAGAAAGCGACCGCCAGAGCGGCCACAAGGGGTGGCCTTGTTGATGAGAGGTTGTCGGACCAGCCATGAGAATCAGTCGTGAGAAAGGACTGGAAATAACATTGGATTGAGTGATTGAGGATTGGATATTGCATTGCATAGTCAGAGAACCTTAGGCGATTTGATGAAAGGTCGTCGGGCCGACCATAAAATAGCAAGAGATTGAGTTTTCCTTTCTTTCTTATCTGAGGCCTCAACGTAAGGGGGATAGCGATGCATGGACCGCAACCCCATGACCTCTACCCGCCAAGGGAAAGTCTCAGCACGACCTATTCCTCATAAGGAAGGATAAGGGTTGAAGGACCAAGGCATCTTTCTCTTTGATTGATGTTGGTCGTCCGGAACTAACTCCGCCAACGAGCTCTAGTCGGGGAGTTCAAACTGTGCCTCATGTTGAGAACCTAAACGTCAAGGGCGTGGAGCCAAACTGGCGAGAGAGCCATTATTCTCCTAAGTCTCATTTTACTCTCCCCAACCACACGCCATACCGTAGAGGGGCGGCATGACCGTTTGGGATGGACCAAGGTTGCTCGCATTAAGTTGAGCGGCATTGTCCGAGGGGTCGGGCATGGTACCGGGTGGAAGCCACAACCATCATAGGGCGAGTGACACCGCCCTGCCGGATAATTACAACCGTTCCGAGACTAACTGCGAGGTCTTCGTAACTGCACTCGCAGACTAATTGAGATTCCCAACTCTCTTGAAAGGAAGAGGCCGGATCCAAGAAAACACCACTTGGGAGGAATGATTCGTGAGGGAGCCACTTGTGGTACGATGGGGTCTTGGGAGGCGTGGAGTGGACCCGCCTACAGATGCGAGGAGACACCTCAATGACGACGCTCATCTCCAGAGAAGCGGCCGCCGGACTAAAGTAGGGGATGAGGTGAGTTATCAGCAGGGGGAGGACTGATCACCCTTCCTTTTTGGGATTTATGGGCCGGCATCCGTCTACTCAGTTGGCAAGGCAAGGTCTGCGTACCTCCACGTGAGAACAAGTCGTGAGTAGGGGGAAGGTGTACCATCTATCGACAAGAAAGCGTGCAAAAGAGAAGGTTACCATGAACTCAAGAAATTGTGTAATTGACTTTGCACAGGCTTGAGAGAAGGTCTGGCAAGATGTCCAGAAGAAAAATGCTTGTGTAATTGACTTTGCGCAGGCTTGAGAAAATGCCTGGCAAGATGCCCTGAAGAGAAAACAAATGAATATGTAATTGACTTTGCGCAGGCTTGAGAAAAGACCTGGCAAGATGTCCAGAAGAGAAAAGAAATGGGTGCGTAATTGACTTTGCGCAGGCTTGAGAAAAGGTAGACGGAGAGTCTGTATTAGAGTGTATGTGTGACTCGTTAAAATCTGAAAAATTAGGACTAAGTTAAAGATAGCATAATAACTTTAGAAATTTAAATTCATATTTTAGTTCGCAAAATATTTTTTTTGAAAATAATTAATGATTTTGGCAAGATGTTCAGAAGAAAAATGCTTGTGTAATTGACTTTGCGCATGTTTGAGAAAAGGTCTGACATGATGTCCAGAAGAGAAAAGAAATTGTGTAATTGACTTTGATCAGGCTTGAGAAAAGGTCTGGCAAGATGTCCAGAAGAGAAATGGATGTGCAATTGACTTTGCGCAGGCTTGAGAGAAGTTTGATGTTCTAAGAGTGATGAATGAGACGAAAGGGGGCTTGATGTACTTCGGGTGATGAACGAGACGAAAGGAATTTGATGTTCTCAGAGTGATGAATGAGACATAAGAAGCTTGAAGAGAGCCTGAATTATGCATACCTCTCCCCGTCCCAAGGATTGAAGACTAGAAGAAACCCGATAAAAGAACAAGAAAAGACAGAACGGACCCTGGCAAGCTAACCACCTATGACATTTCATCCTCCTCTCCCGTCTATCCCTCAAAAACCCATTAACAAGAGATTGGTGCGCGATGAGGACATCGCGAAAAAAGTGGGGGGAATGTGTCGGGACTGGTGGGTCCCGAATAACTTCCCATCACTCGAGAGACTGAATATAACCAGATTGTGCACGGCAGAGAAATCTGGAGCAAGGAGGAAAGAGATACAAAATACAAAGGATTAGGTTGCAGGAGGGAGTGATGCCCTGGGGTGAGAACCACCGAAGGAGAGAACCAGCGACGGCAAGCGAGTAAGCGCAAAAACATGGGCACATAGAACAGAGCATGAGGCCGAGAGGGCCGTTGGAATTCGAGCAAGACTAAGGCCAAAGGGCCCTTGAACCAGCAAACGTGGCACGACAACGATAAAAGAATGAGGAAGTCGAGAGACGGACAGCCCTGGAGGCCGTGGGAAGCTAGAGAATAAGGGCCCAACATGGGGGCCACCTACAGGAGCCTCGGGTTGGAGGCCCCGCGACCAAAGGAACCGGCGCGCGCAAGCTGCAAGAAAGGCAAGGGAGAGGGTTCACCGTGGAGCGGCAAAACGCCCAAGGAATGTGGGACACCTTGGGGAAAGGCACCCGGGGCCACGTGGGACTAAGTAAAAATAA